AACCCCTAAACCCTAAACCCCGACACGCCATGCGAGAGGGGAAAAACCCCGACACGACCCGAAAATCAGGGGATCGGCCTTGGACTTTGAGGTTCCCAGGTCTTTGCTTATGGGCCTCTGCCCATAGACACTGCACGTGCGCTTGTACATGTAGGTAGGCAGGTCTTTGGGAAACACATGAAGTNNAGTTATGAAAATAGGCGATGCGACGGACTCAACGGCTCTTGTCGGAGATGGTGTGAACTCTGGAGCGCGAAGGGCAGAAACTTGTTACCGCAATCTTCCGTGGGGAAAGCTCCCTTCTACCCCCATTCACATCGGCAGGCATGACACAGAAGTCGGGGTTTCGCGTCGGCCAGCTATCCCAATGTATCCTGGCGGAGCTCCCCCGAAACCCAGAGAAGCCCTAAGCCTACTCCCTAAACCTACAACCTAGACGGCCTGCTGCCGGACTGTAAGCCCCTAAAGCCCATTGTCGGAGGCTGAAACAGTCCAGCTCTACTTTGATCCGGAGCCACTTGGGTGACCTTGAGTTGCGGTTTGCTGGCGCTGAGTCAGATCAGCGGTTTCGCGATGTTTTTTATTGTGATTAGAGTGTGTTGTTCTGGGTTTTGGCATTTGCGGTTCAGTTTAGGGATGTCGGGCACCAGTGAGTATGTAAGATCCGGGTGGATAGGGCATTCGTCCAGAAGCATGAAGCCTGAGCCCCAGACTTTCGGAGCTTCAAGAAAGGTTAGCTGAAGAAAGTCCCACAAGACTTGGAAAGAAGGAATAGCAGGGTGCGCTGAAAGAAAATGGGGTACGTTTTGGGGGCAGTTTCCAAAACCCGAAACCTAAACCCTCAGGCTGGGGCCTTGTGGCAAAGCGTGCCATGGTCGGGGATTCAAAGTCGCCCTCAAAACCTGAAGGCGTTAAAGCCCTGCCTTAAAGCGAATGTGCCCCATACCCCTAAACGCGTAAACCCAGAAACACCTGAAGTGCGAAATCCTCAGACCCCAAACCCCGAAACGCCTTAGCCTTAACGCCTCTAAGCCCAAGAGCCCCTGTCTTTGAGCCCTACAGGAGGTATGCCACAAGTATGCCCTGATTGCCCGAGTCCGAACACTAAGCTCTCAGAATCGCCAACCAAACGCAAGTGAGAAATGTGGCAGGTCATAGTCTATAGTTGGAGAAGATTCTGACAAGAGTAGCTCCGTAGCTCTCAGTAGCACTGGCAGCGAAAAATAGTTGTGGTCGCAGTGAGCCTTTTTGCTTCTAGGATTAGCCGTATATTCACATAGGTTAACAAACGGCTAGTAATAGTCACAGTAGTGCAAGCGGTCAGTAGTGGTAGTTGTAGTACCCCTATATGGTAACAGCCACGTGAGTCATGTCAACAGGACGCCACCACATGTTGGTAGTAGCATCATTTCCAACACTCAAGGTCAGCAGTCGTTGCCAAAGGCCAAACAGCACAAAAAGAGTATGGAAGGAGTAGCAAGCAGTGATTGCGACGGTGCTGATGACCGTGGTCGTAAGGCATGTCTCCTGGCCGTTTTCTGTGGACCAGGGCAATGTCCTGGTCTTTGCGACGCAGTGGTGGCAGGCCTGCATTTGCACCGCCCGGGTTTCGGGTTTGGGCTGCTGGACGCTGTCTTCTGGTCCTGTGTGTACGCTGTTTAAAGCTCTCTGTGTTCCGGAGGCTTCGGCACTACGCAGTCGCAGTCCTCAACCTAATCCCTCGAATGCGCAACAGGTAGCCTGAATCAACGCAGTGTGCTGAAATCGTGTGAATCCTGAATGCGAGTCTGACAAAGCCGCAACGGTACCAACGCCAATGGAGCCAGCAGATTGGTAAGCAGTGGCGACAGCTTGGACTTTTTGAAGTCTTGTGATCAGGACGAGAACATATAGCAAGAAAGTGTTTCAGACATGGGAGGTTGCAATTGCGCAGCATCCCGAATCCGACGTAAGCAATGCACGGGTGTAAGACTTGCTGATGACCTGCAGAAAGCCCGTCACCGGACTTTTAAAGGAGATCAGGCATTAACACGATGTAACACAGCACAGCGGCCATTATGGTCGCGAATGCATGAATATGAGAGTACAAAGAAACACCAGAGCATCTGGTGAATGCAAGGAAGATACGCGGCCGTCCAGCTGATGGCATACATGAGGCTCCAAATCATCCAACGCCCAATGGCTCAGGCTCTCGAGGTCAAGCGAGCCGCACCTGGTTGCCCTCTAAACCGCAACATATGAGACCCAAACCCTCAGCATCAATTCTTGAAGCCTAGGGTTTGCGGGAATGAGCGGAGCCCTAAGTCCTAAGTAAGCAGTTTTTTGCACCCTCGAGACTTAATGCATGCGCCTCGCTGGCCGTCCGAATATCGAAGGACCGGAGAGGAAGCCGAAGCCGAGGTCCCTAAACCCTTTAGGGTTCAGGGTCTAGGGTGGGTGATACGGCGGGGTTTAGGGGTCGCGGTACTTATGACCATCTTGCAGCTCAGGACGCTGCCCCTNNCCCCCCCCCCCCCCCCCCCCAGTGTCTTTCACATCCCGCTTCCCTGAGAGGAGCTCGGAGGCTACGACCGATTGATGCGAGGCCAGGTGCATCCTTCCGCTGCTGATCATTTTCCTGAATGTTTGGGCTCCGGCAAAACAAAGCGTAGAGCCCTGGATCTATTTTCTTGATTTTTCTTGCAGTGGAGAAGTTGAGAGCTTGGGTTTTCAGTTTGCTGCTTTTGTCCGGGCGGGTGGGGCAGGCCGGTGACTGTTGAGGTTTGTTGAGGTCATCTCGGACTGGAGACATGTTTAGGATCATGAGGCGCTCGTGGCGGGATCTTGGGCTCTGGAGTGTCAAAGGAGTTCAAAAAGGAGATGTTGGGAGGGTGGCCTAGTCCTTTGCTTTAAGGAACAGCCAAACTGTGCACTGCCAGCTTCCATACCGTCTGTTTTCTATGAGAGTTCCTGCTTTACCCTTCCCCGATTCGTCCGATACTGTATACATTGCACTTTCCCGAGCCCCTGGAAGTCCGTCGTGCCAGGCTCCTCTACTCTGCTTCTGGAGAACATCGAGCAGCTAGGGTGCAGGTTCCACCTACCACTAGGGGCATTTGGTCCCGAGTAAGGAGTATTGGAGTCCAAGAGAGAGTAGATGGAGGGCCTAGGTAGTCGGTCGGGGCCTATGCAGATCTTAGAATCTTAGAAGAATCCGAGCATCATCAGGCCTTTTCAGCTTGGGCTAGCTGAGTTCCCGGGAGTCCATCACCTGGGACACGAAGCTCTGGTCCGTGCAACTCCCATTCAGGTAGTAAAACGTCTTTCGGACCTCGGAGGTGTGTTTAAAGTTGAGAACAACCCTCAAATCAAAACCCTTATAGTAGGCCAAAATACCCTCAAGTTCTCATATTGTTCTTAGAGAAAGGCGGCCTTCACTTGCCTCAAGCACCCTCAGGGGCCGAGTCAGGCGATGAGGGCCCGCAAAGAAGGTATGTGAGAGAAAAACGACACACAGAGTCCTCAAAACAGCATTATGACATATGTATGCAAGTTTATACATTATACATACACATATGTCTATATAGATAGTTAGATATATATATATATATTTATATTTATAGAGATACATATTTGTATGAACACGTATATTGAGAGACAGATGCAGATAGATTGAGTCGTATCGAGATCATTATCCTCTTTATAAGGTTTTCGAAGCACCCAAGGCTCTCCCTGCGGGTCTTTCTCTGCGGCGGCCAGTTTCTGCCCCTGAACAACAGCGTGGTGGGCTTCTGCCATGCGTGCCTCTCTCTAATTTTCAGACCAGGCTTGCTAAGTCTCATGGTCGGCATGGTAGTGGTACAGAGGGAATGTCGAAACTGCAATTGCACTTAAGAACATCTGAAGATCTGACCGGGCATGAGGCCTTAATGTGTGAGCCTCAATGGTAAACTTTAAACTCTAAACCACATGCCTGGCCCGGAGTGTCCGAGTGTGAGCGCCGGAACCTTCATCTACCTGGATCGAGTGGGAGCGGGTGACCCCACACTCCTACATACTCCCGAAGATCTCTGTCTCCATGTTCTTGGGTCCGCGCTGACCCGATGCCATAGCATTTTTGTGCTTCTGTCGCAGATGTGCAGACTTCCGGTTAAGGGAAGCATCAAGCCATCAAACCGCCAAACCCAAGCCACATCATCAAAACAGCAGAGGGTGTTGTTAAGCAGGAGTCAGTTCGGTGTTTTTCGGTTCGGTCAGTGAGCCGCTGTGCCGAGAAGTTCATTTAACACGTTGCATTGGGGCTTGCCAAGGCTTTGTACACCAAGAGCTTTCGAAGAACAAGACCATGTCCAGCCATTTGTAGATCCTTGAATTCCTAAACCCAAAATCCTGTTTCGTGGATAGCCTGAATAATTCGCTTACGGTTTGGGGGTATGTTATGGTTATATTTATAACAAGGAGCCCGCAAACCCTATTCTAATTATTAAGGCCCCTACATTACTTTCGCAGGGCTGATCACGACACGTTTAGGGGGGTTGGTGATTCTCAGCTCAGGAGGCACGGGACGCTGCACCACGAGCGTGGCGACATGCTGTACAACCAGGCGGGAGCTTCGAAATTATAGTGCCGCTGCAATCGCCGAAGTAATGCATGTACCTATCTATTAATGTATCAAACTACCGTAGTCCTCGCCTGACCTGGTCGAGCGAGTGCTAGCAAAAATGCATGTGTCAGGTTGAAAAAGCTTATTACCTGTCGGTAAACACACTAACTGCTGGCTCTTTGTGCTGGTGCTCCGAGGGAGGGTCTGAGATCAAGCTCATGTCCTCCTGCAACAAGGGGATGGGTATACAGAGAGTACTCGGCACTACCCGGAGGCGTGGCAATGCCCGAGGTTGGTTTATTTTGTGGGTCACGGAAGCTTTGCAGACTTTGGGGCTTTCTTGTAGCTTCCTTGACACCGAAATCACGCGCCCGGTCCGCGAAACACGAGCAACGGAGTAAAGGTTGCACGGCCCTGGAACACGAGCCTAGAGAGCGGAGCGGAAGACTCAACACCTGAAGCCCTGTAGAAAGCTGGAACTCCAGGCCCACCCCGAGGCCACTGGTTTTAGCTAGCCAGAAGCTCGTTCAGGAGTGTCCAAGGAATATGATACTCGAAGAGGGAAAGCCTCTTCACTCGAAAGCTTTTTCAACCGCAATCAGGTAGGACATATGCCGAGCTTTCTCCATGAGATTTTTGGAAGTAGTTCACGCGAAAATGGGACCGAGCTGAAGCTGGACCACTGGGATGAAGAAACGGACCCACACAGACACAGACACACACACACACACACACATACATACATACATACATACATACATACATACATACATACATACATACATACATACATACATATATATATATATCTATGTATACCTACCTACCTACCTACCTACCTACCTACCTACCTACCTACCTACTTACCTACCTACCTACGTACCTACCTACCTACCTACCTACCTACCTACCTACCTACTTACCTACCTACCGACCTACCTACCTACCTACCTACCTACCTACCTACCTACCTACCTACCTTCCTACCTGCCTACCTACCTACCTACCTACCTACCTACCTACCTACCT